AATCAATAATGGGGGGGAGGGGGGGCGAATCAATAATCAAACCTTTTTTTTTTCTATAAAAAGAAAATTTTTTTTTTTTTAATTAAAAACAAGAGACAAAACACACCTGTATAATTCTGGTAGGCAGACGCAAATGCGTCTAATGACGTACCATTATGCGTAGCGAGATTTGTTATTGGTGAACCCAATGTGACCGGACTTAGAGGGGATCCTCCACCGTTTCCATTTCCTAATGACCCTGAAAACCATAACCGAAATTTAATTATTATTATTATTATTATTATTCGACGACAACAACAAATTTTTCCTATTCATTGTCTGTTCGAATATTATTATTCTTTGTTTTTTTTTCTCCCGCGAATGTTTTAAAACGAAATATTATGATAATACATCAATACGAAAAAAAAACAAAAACAAACAAACAAACAAACACACAAAGCGTAAACAAATTCAAATTTTATAATTTTTAAGTACGCACACACACACACATACACGCAAAAAAAAAAAGAAACGACATTTTTAATTTTTCTCACCTGCTTTTCCGCTACTATTTTTTTTTTTAAGTAAAGCTGAAGTGGGAGCAGCAGGAAAAAAAAACAGAAAATAATAATAATACTACTTCAGGTTTTTTTTTTTAAAGAAAATCTAAAATGGTAAATTTTTCCGTTTGTTTAACTTACTGGGAAAATAAAACATTGGATGTGAATTTTTCGTTTGGTTGTTCGTCATATCGTCGGAACAATTAAGGTCTACGATTTCGGTACAATCGCGATCGGGAAAATTTTTTTTCCGGATGTTGAGAGTTTGTTTGACAAATTCGTTTAAATTCCAATTTGTTGAAAATTTATCATCTTTTTGTCGGGTGGGTATGGTCATTGTGTATCTTTTTTTCGTTATCACGTCTTTTTCCTCATTCCAATAACTTTTCAATCTATCATTTTCTAACAATACTTTCAAGGGTAACGTTTTAGAATTGTTGTTGTTATTGTTGTTGTTGTTTTCCCTTTCCATCAAACTCTCGTGAAAATTATTCGGTTCTGTTTTTTTCAATAAGTCAATGAGTAGAAAATTCGTTTCGTTACGATTTTCTTTAAATTCCGACAAGTAATTTTTATTTAAATAATGTTTAACGTCCACGTTGTCGTTTTTTATTGAAAAAGCATTTTTGAAATTTTTCGATAGTTTATTACTATTATTATTATTATTATTATTATTATTATTATTATTATTATTATTATGCGTCGGTATTGTAGGATGAGACGAATCCAGGAAATGCGAAATATTCTCGTGATGGAGATTGGTCAGGGAATTGCACCGCTTTAAATTTTTTTGATCTAAAAAAAATTTTTTCATTTTCCCGCCCCCAAAAAAAAAAGAATTGTAAAAATTGTTTTTCTTTCTCTTTTCTTTATTATTATTATTTCTTATTATTAGTCAAAACATATATTAAAACAATTAACATTTAAACACACAAAGCAACAACAGCAAAGCGTGTGAACGCGGTGCATCGTAGGAAAAAAAAAAAAAACAAAATTTGATGGAATGTATGTAATAAATGGAAAAAGAGAGAAGAAAAGAAAAAAAAAGAAAAACTCAACTTACACGTACCCATTCCGGCCGTTGAACTAGTTAAGCTTTGTAAGGCTGAAATAAAAAAAAAGAAAAAAATTAAAAAGGTGCCGAAAGAGATTTTTTTAAAGAAAAAAAAATGGTGGAAATTCTTACCAGAAGGTGAAACTTGAAGACTAGTTCCGTTACTTCCCTGAATGGCTGCTAGGGTAACCAAATTTTGTACACTCATAGGATTAACAGCTAAAAAAAAACAAAAAAAAAACTTACAACAAGTACCAAAAAAAAAAAAAATTTTCTTTTTACTCATTTTCCTCACTTACTCGGAGATGCAACGGAAAGATTTGCTAGGGTAGCCAAATTTTGTAGATTAGCAGGACTAATATCCGCCGCTGTACTTCCTGACGATCCCTGTAAATTCAGTGCTGTGGATCCCGGAAGTCCAAGGGCTAAACTCTGTAGTGAAGGCGTATTTAATGCAGATTGCATGAGAAGCTGCTGTTGAAGAGATGCGAGGCTTGGAGCCACGCTGGCAGGCGTCGGAGTGCTTGCAGCTCCTGAATATTTCATTCATTCATTCATTTTAAAAAATAAAAATTCAACCCAAAATAATTAAAAATAAATGAGAACTAAAAAAACTTTTTTTAACCTGCTAATTGTTGTAGTAAAACGCTAGCAGGAGCGAGACAATGCGAATCCCCGGCGAGGTATTGAGAATGACCCATTCCTACACCTGTTAAATTCCATAAATTAGCCTGCATTTGCTGCAATCTTTTTTGGTCTTTTTCCTTTTGAGTATCCGCAAATTTTACCACCAAAGCCGAAGAACACCCCTGTATAAACAAACAAACAAACAAACAAATTTTCTTTACACGTATAACATAAAAAAAAAAAAAAAAACTTTCATGCAAGAAATTTAAAATAAAAAAACAATTACAATTGTTATTAACAATAATTATTGCACACGTAATAACTTTTTTTTTTTTTTCTATAAACACACGTAATAATAATAATAATAATTTAATGTACAACATTACTTAACCTTTTTGTTTAAAAAAATACAATTTTCATTAATAAAATAACATTAATAAAAAAAATTTTTTAAATGTTAGATTTAGGCAACTACATGTGCCACAATTATTTTTTACAAACAAATAAATAAATAAATAATCGACATTAACATTATTTAATAACGATAAATACATTTTAAACAACCTTTTTAAATCCACGGGGGGAGGGGGTAGTAATTTTTTTTTTCTACTAAACTAACCCGGGAAAAAAATTTAAAAAAAAAATAAATAAAAACTTTTTTTTTTTTATTAATTTATACGCGATTGTTTTTTTTTTAAATTTATACGTTTAAAAATAATTAACTTTCTTAATAATTTATTAATTCCTTTTTTAAATAAATAAATAAAATAAATAAATAATAATAATAACTCACGTCCATAGTTTGAGAATGGTGCATTGCTTTTATGGCGTTGATAGCACTTTGCTTCGATGCGTAAGTTACAAAGGCACAACCTGTATAAGGCAAGATAAATCCTGTTTTTAATTTTATAACTGGCCCTCCTCTCATTAATTTTAAATAAATAACAATAATAATAATAATAATAATAAATTTATATAAAAACACACAAATAAAACAATCAATTAAAAACATCATTTAAAACGAAAAAAATATAAATAAATATAATTAATAATGTTATTTAAAAATAATTTTTATCGCACATATAAATATATTTTTTAACATTTAAATAATTATCATTATCATTTTCATTATTATTAAATTTTGTTTTTTTACCTTTACTTTGTCCCGTAGTATCTCTAAGTACTGTACATTCTTCTATATTACCATAAGGACTAAATAAATTACGGACGTCCGATTCTGTGCATTTTTTTGCTAGCATTCCAACGAACAATTTCCGTTCTGAAAAATTTTATTTTAGTATTTTTATTTATATGTATAAAAATAAAAGAAACATGGAGGAAAAGTTTTTCGAAACCTTTTCGAGAGGGGGTGGGGTGGGAGGAAATAAATAAAAATTATTGATTTGTTGAAAGGTTTTAACTGATACATTATTCATATGACAATTTCCCTCTGTTTCTCCTGACGGCGCATTCTATAATTGAACCGAACGCTTATTAATTATTTGAAAACGAACGGCTTAGAAAATTCTCCCTCTCTCTCTCTCTCCCACTCTCTCTCCTTTTCTCATTTCCTTCTTAAATCAATAAACGAATTGCGTGACAATTTTAATAATAATAATAAAATTGTTTATATATTTTTTTTTCCTATCTTTATACGTACGTACGATACATTAAAATATTTTTAATCTTTGAAAAAAATTTTATTAATTATTAATTAATAATTTTTTTAAATTATTTATTTATTTATCTGATTGATTGATTGATTGACTGACTCATGACGGAATGTTTTTGTTTAATATTTAGAGAAAAAACAGAAAAAAATTTACAAAAATGTTTTTTATTAATAAAAATGAACATTCGTGGGCGTTTTTTTTTTTACCAGTCGCACACGCACAAAATCATACATCACGGGACAATTACGTATAAAATGAAAATAATATGTGATATGTACATGCGTGCATATACACACGCACTACTCCACGCACTGTATTAAGTGGGCGCGTAGATTCTTATAAAATTATTATTACTTGTTGAAAGATTTTATTTCACGGTTCAAAGCATCAAAGTTTTTAAAATAATGTCAATTTTAATTGTAATTTACTGCCGACCTGATTTTTAAAAAAAAATGTTGTTAAAAGAAAATTTTTTTTTTATCCATTCAATTCGTTTATTTTAAATTCTGATTGAAGAAAAAAAATTTTAACAAAAGTCGAAGAGCCTAAAAAAAAAAAATGACTTGTTTGAAAAATTCGTGAATAAATTTAAAAGCTCACCAAAAACAAAAAAAGGGGAACCTTAAAAATTATAATTAACTCGACCTTCAAACCGAATCGTTTATTCTTTCGTTAGTTTTTTTTTATCAAATTCATTTCCGTTCAGGCCTCTGATAATAATTCCATAGACCATTTTTATCATAAATCTGTGTAATTAATCACTCGACACATAAGAAGAAAGAAATATTAGATAAAATTGACAGAAAACATTTAAAGAAAAAAAAATTTTTTTAATACCATTCGAAAGAGGAAACCCAAAGAAAGGAATTAAAAAAAAAAAAAAACGCGCGCGCGCCTAAGAAAACCCAATACGCTGGAAAATTAATATGAATAAATAAATAACATAATAGTTTCGTCTTCTGCTTTTCGTTCCCCTCTGAATTCGGACGGGGGAGGAGCGAGGAGAAAAGTTAAAGAAACTATTATTATTATTGAATGTTATTTCCTATTTCCTTCTCCTGGTTGTGACACGAATAGCGTGACCCGATTTGATATTCTTTTTAAGTTTAAGTTTAACTTTAATTTTCTTTTTCTTTTTTTTTTTTTAAACCAACAACAGCAGCGTTACAACAAATAAATCCGACAGAAAGAAGTTTAAATTTTTCTTCTTTTTCTTCTGCTGTAAATTTTTTTTTTTAAAAAAATTTTTTACCCTCAAATAATTAAAAAAACAACAACAACAGGTGGTGGCTTAAATTATATCCTTCGATAAATACTTCGTTTTTTTTTTTTAAATTATTAATTCCGCTTTTTGTATAACACAATTATTATCATTATTATTAACGTAAAATACAATCAATAACATAAATAATAATAATAATAAAATAGGAAAAATATTTACCTGCATTAATCAAATTAGGCAAATGGCAACTCACAATTAAAGAAAAATTTTTTTTTTTTTCAGGTTGTGTAAAGATTTTAATTTAATAATAATAATAATTATTATTATTATTATTGTCGTTAGAAAAAAAAATCGAATCCGAAGTATTGACTAATTAAACGAAAACAAAAAAAAAAAAACAAAAGATGTTTTTTTTTTTTTTTTCGAATGAATAAATTTTCAAAATTGACGCAAATCATGGCCCTGAATAAAAAAAAAAAACGAATTCGATTTTTTTAAATATTTCATAACGTCAGTTGATAAAATACTCTATGAATTATTCGTTTTTTTTTTTTTAGAAAATCATAGAGAAAAAAAATTTTTTTTTTTTCGTTTCATTTATTTTTATTTATCGAAATTATCATTTGAAAAAATAAAAAAAAAAAACAAAACGTCTGGAAATTTATTTTTATCAAAGCAGAAGACAAAAAAAAAAATTTTATTAATTAAACCGTCTTTTTTCAGAAGGCGGTGGTGGAAGATAAGAGGGGAGAGAGGGAAATTCGTTTTATAATTCAAAGGAAAAAACATCAATATATACCGTATCAATCGATATAGATAAAAAAAAAGAAAATTTTTTTTTTTCATTTTTTAAGAAAACGAAAAATTCTATATTTAGTTTATAATAAAAGTGGTTCTTTTTAAAAAAAAAATTAACGATATTATTTTTAATTTACTATCAAATTAAATAAAAAAATTATTAAATGTTTATTAATAAATAAGACTTTAAAATTTTTTTTTGTATAGAAGGTTTCGATAATAAAATAATGATAATAATAATAATAATAATGATGATGATGATAATAATAATAATTAATAAGTAGATTTTTTTTTTTTTTTAAATGGTAAAAAAAAAAACAACCGTCATCACCATATCATTGGTGTATCGTTGAAATTAGTTACATCGGGTTAAAAAAAAAATAAACGCACTCACGCACGCACGCACGCACGCACGCATACACACACGCGTCTTGATAAAAAATTCTACGCATGCCTGCTCATTCACGTATATAACAAACAACATTTTTTTTTTTCCTTCCTCTTTTATATTGCTCTTCCAACAGTTTGAAAAATAGAAACTTTACGTTATAATTATTTACTTTTTGCTATTGTCAATGTATTTTTCATTATTTTGCTACGGTAAAATTTTTTATATATTTTTTCATACCGATTGATACGTTTTTTCTTCAAAAGAAAAGGAATTTTTTTTTTTTAGGCGAGGCACCAACGGAAGAAGAAGAAGAAAAAGGAGTAATTAACGACAATTCTTTACAGTTTCATTAGCATTTTGTAAAATTTGCAGGAAAAAAAAAATGGGAGGAAGCTTTCAAGGTTTTCATTTTAATATCAATTAACGTTTTTGATAGGTTTTTGTGTCTTACCTGAATTTCCATTATCCGCACCTGGGCTTGGATCCGGTGTGAAATAAGAATTAGGTAAATAAATAAGACCCGTGCTGGTTGAGGTAGGCCTGTAGTAAGTTGTCGAGTCCAATTGGACGGGGGGCAAATATGGGTGCTGTTGTAGGGGGTAATAATTAAGACGCCTGCTCTTCATAGCGCCTGCCCAACACAACTCCGATAATCGCGATACATCATAACGATCCTCGCTTACAACATTTTCAGGTATTAATAATTTCATTTGTTTATTATTTTAATAATATAACATTTCCATCACTTCACATCATCATCATCGCAATCACTTTTTTTAACAACGTGTCACTTTTCCTTTTTCCTTTCTTTATTAATTTATTAATTTTTTTTTTTGCGGTCAATAAATAAAATAAAAAAATTAATTGCGGTTAAACATTAAGCATCGTTTTAAAAAAAAAAAAATTATTTAAATTTTAAATTTTTTTAAACACTTGAATGAATATAACCGAAAAAAATATTAATAATTAAATTTTTATTTATGGACGAATGAAAAATATATTGAATTTTTTTATTTTTTTTTTCATAAGAAAGTTTTCAACGCAATAACAAACAACAAACAACAAACAACAAAAACTTTCAAACGATTTTTAAAAAAATTGGCAAATTATCAACAAGAAAAAAAAAATTTTTTTTAATATTCGTTACGTATTAATAATAAACCTTTAAAATAATTCATCATACATAACAAAACAGAAAATAATAATAATAATAATAATTATAACCGTTTTATTACTTTGAACTTTCTTTTAAAATAATAATAATAATAATTTTATAAAAATATATTTCTTTTAAAAATTATTTAATAACATTTTTTGTTTTGTATTTTTTTTTTTTTTTACTCCGCACAAATTAAATATAAATAATAATTTAAAAACCTGGAATATTTATTTATTGGACCTATGCCTATTGGCTTATAACGTTATGTAATTTTTTATTCCCCCCTTCCCCCCACGTTCAGGTAATAAATTTTTTATTAATAAACGAATTATTATTTATTTATGTATTAAAAAGTGAAACCGTCAAACATCCACGCCAAAATCCACATATTCAAAATATCTATTATCACTCGTTAATTATTAATTAATTAATTTTCATTCACTTCCGTTTAATTATTATCATTATTATTATTAATTTTAAAATATTCAGCCGTAAGACGTAGTAGAGAACTTATGGTTAAAAAAAAAAAAACCACAGTAAGACAAAAATTTCTTATTATTAAATCTCGAAAGTATTAAATTTGAGATGGTTTTTCATTTTTCTTTTTTATTTTACAAAAAAAAAAAGAGCCTTATCAGGTTCAAATTTAATAATAATAATAATAATAATAATAATAATAATAATAATAATAATAATAATAATAATAATAATAATAATAATAATAATAATAAGTTTAAAACAAACCAGAAAGTGTATAAAATTTCAATGGAGAAAAAAAAAAAAAAATTAAACAAACTCGATTCATCTGTTTTTTGTTTTTTAATATGAAACAAACAGATTTAAAAAAAAAAATGTTTTGCGAATTTTTTTTTTTTTTGCTCCCCGATTAAATCCTTAAAAAAGTAGTAAGGTTTAATAATAATAATAATAATAATAATAAAATCAATTTTGTTTAAATAAAAAAAAAAAAAGAAACTTTTTGATAAGTAACTTGAGGCACAAAAATATATCATATT